TATATAAATGTATTATGTCCAGCGCTAAAGCGACTTTACCAGCCGTAACTCTTTTCCTTTCGATAAGCTAGCCAGTCTGCTTAGCTAGTTTAAGCTTCACTTTGAGAGAAATAGACAAACAGCCTATACCAGATTCCGACTGGCATCTCAAATAGGGCGTCAAGAAACCATTTTTGGCGTTAAATATGACGATGCGACTGGATATGGCGGCGCCTGGGCAAACTTGTGTTCTCATGTCAATATAAGAAGAGTTTTGACCTTGGTATAGTCGCTAAAAGGGTAGTGCAAGGAAATATGGTGACATTCGGCCGTACCAACTAGTCAGAAAGTAGAACAGCGGCAAGCAGGAAACGCATCAAGAGGGCCGCTGAAGTAGCCGACCATCCACTCCTATGATACAGCGTCTATTCAGCTCTTTCTTCCTATTTGTAGAAAAAAAGCTGTTTTTTTAGCAGATTCTCCGTCTTCGTATATATGACGGGTTTTTCTCTCAACGTGGTCCTATATATATATATTTTTTTTTAATAGTAAACAAGGTTGAATTACGGGCTAGGGACGAAGCTGGCCTTTGAAGCCACCATTGCAGACAGTCGGTTTCTTACGGCGACAAATCGTCTTCTAGCTGTCGAAAAAGGCCAAATTTGTTCGATCAAGTCGCATGAGACAGCAAAATCGACTGGTTAGACCTCGACCCATGTCATCGCGCATACAATTCAGTGGGGTAATGTCGAATAGCCCACGCAACAGGTGCTGACTCGGAGAAGACGTTTCAAGGACAATGCAGCATAAACAAACGATAGGCAAGCATTATCTGAGTTGTAGCAGTCGAATACTCAACCCAGACCAGATCAGCTGTACACAGTCATAGCATAGCATGCCAGAGGGCTTCAGTAGATGATATAGCCTATAATACTCTGATTCAGATAATTGTGCTCTGCTAAGTATCTTTATAGAGCAGCAAAAAAACAAGAGCACGAATAGGTGAGGGCAGTTGTGGTCAATGATCTATAACTGTTTCTCGAAACATGTGTTGAGTGCTTACACAGCTTTCTAGCTAAAGAATGTTAATAAAAAAAGAAATAAGATCTTATAGAGTCCAAATCGACGCGCACTCGGAAAGACAAAACCTTCTCAGAGACGTGTATGTATTTTGAAAAATCTCTCAAATGGTATTAGAATGTAGGTTTTTGTATTCCAAAAAAGTTGACTATGTATCAAAAAAAGGTTATCCATAACCTTCTGTTTCTTATTGTATAAAACAAAAGGGGTTTAAGGGAGGACAAACAAATATGGGTATAGTTTTTGCTCACCTGAAAAAGACCACAGCACTTCGTTATCTTGTAACTGATTGACTGTTACCCTAGTTGAGAAATACGTATTTCCATCACAGTATTAGCTGATGCATTAGAATTAACCTAATGACTAATGAGCACCCATCTACACTAAGGTTGTGTTTTTGTTGTGGAAACGTAGAACAGTATCTACTAGTGCTGAGTGTCATACTTTTGTAGTGATGCTTTCTAATCCATGTGCCGTCACTCGTAATCGGCTATACCTTGTGTGACCCTTACCGGGTATTACCACCCATGACAACCAGACTTGCCTAGATCTGGCTGTGTGTTCCCTTTTATCACCTTTAAGTCGAGCTCTAGGATACACCCATTCGATCAGCCGAAGGCTGTCAAAACCTGCTATAGGTCCGGTTAGTTACATTTGGCTCTACGAGCGAAACCAGGGCCTTTAGTATTAATAAGTAGAGCATTTGAAAGTACTTTTAGTTTAAAAAACGGCCCAATGTTAGGCCAACTTGATTAAATAAAGCACTTATTATTATTTAGCATGTTAAATGTTTTCTTGTTCAGTAAAGGCTGTTAATTGCGCTGTCTCATGAAAGGTTAGGTTTATAAACTCCGGTTACGATCCTCCATTTTTGATTTCGATTTTTGTGTCGTTCATGTAATATTGTATGGGTATCAAAGAGCTACTTATCAAAAATTATTGAAATGTTCTACTTCTCCTATGCTGAAATAGCTTACAGGCTAATTAGCGAGCTTAGACTATATTATAATACTAGAAGTCTCATTGACGAGAATGTACCCGTACGCTATGCTCTCACAGAATTAGCTAGCGTACCGCAGCGGAAGAAGTAATAACAACGCAAAGTACTACACATACGAAGAGTATTTATGGGTGATTTGTATCAACCTTGTTCTATTCGTGTTCTGATACGTACCTGAAAAATAGCACGCCATAATATCGTAGGTGGCGTCAATATACATCGCTCTTCAGCTTGACGCTTCCCTCGTACAGCTCCTTCACCGTACGATTTTTCGAGCAGCAGTGAAGCGGCGATAGGCGTGGCAGCGTCTACCTCCACGCTCAGCATCCTAAATACGGAACGAACGGAATGGCGTGTTACAATGTCATCACGTAATAGACAACCATTCCATAGCCTGTTTTAACTAAGACATTATCCTGGCTTATATATGCACACTGCTAAGTATTGCTACTAGTTTCGAGTTTTTGACCTCGTAACTTCGTCTCATGCTGAATGTTGTGGCTTGCAAAAAAACCTTTTTTGCTATTTAAGTCCACTGTAAGTGCGTGTTTTTTTTTTATCGTTAAGTACGCTAGTCTACGATAGTTTATTCATACGCCCGGTTCGCTTCATTGAGGAGGTGCTAGGGCAAACGCTTCAAGCTGTCGCGATCTAAAAGGAATAGATAGCTCAAAGATAGCTATGTACATAAGAACGATCGTTAGATATGGAGCTATACAAATCGACCTTTTAAAAGAAAGACCAATTCAAAAAATATTACCCTATCCAGCTTGGTTAATAAATTTCGATTCCATCCGCACCCCTTTCAAGTTATACGAAACAATTTATACCGTGAGTAGAAGGACTAGAAATATTCAAGTGGCGAGATCGCAAAGATCAATAAGCTACAGTGTTAAGACAGTGGGCCTGGTCAACGACATTTACTACTGAGTAGGCACGATGGTAACTTTTCGTGACGGTATAGTGTTAACGTGTGTACCGACTAAATATAGAATCAGCTGAGGTAGTCCAGATTCAAAATCACGTGTAGTCACACACCTTGTCTCGTGCTGGAAGCCAATTATCGAAAGCAATACCGGACAAAAAATTTTACGCGTTTAGTCTAGTGTTTTTTTACAAAATTAGTCAAAAAAATATAAGAAAATGATTCAAAAATAACAATAAGTCATTTTGATGATGATGATGACCATGACTGTACGTGTTGTTATTTTTATGAAGATGACTGTAAGATGATGATTGTAAAAAAAATTACGCCTTTTAGCTAAAACCTTTTTTTTTTTGTATGGATAACACCTATAAACCTTCACTTAAAAAAAACACCTATTTGGTGAAATGCATTTATATATCAAAAGGTTTGTTTCAGATAAAAAATATCAATTCTCAAAATAATACTTTTCAAATCTTTAGTGTCCACACTGGTCGTGAGCAAAACAAATATACTTCAATAACCGGTGGCATTTCTTAACATGTATTGAGCTGTGATTGTTCCATAGTGAATGTAAACTACCCAAAAGTTTTGACTGAAACAATAACTTGATTTTGCAAAGTTAGCGCAAATTAGTTACCAAATCGAGTAATTTTTATTTTATCAAATAGTGATGATCAGTAGATACAAAAAGACAACGTTTGTTTCGTTAGTGCTCTCTACATGGAAACATAGGATTTATTTATTTGGTATATCGTCGACTTGTTTTTCGAATTCAGAATTTTACAAAATGAATAAAATGATGGTTGAAAAAGCGTTGTGACCTTCGAACAGATATTCAATGGTCTTTTTTAGCCGCCTCAAAGACTTGCGTTCAAAAGCCAAAGGCGTTCAAATATTAGAAAGGGTACTTTTCTTATAAGGTGTTAAGTTATGAGGTATAGCATTAAATTACACTTACCTGGCGTTTGCTTAGATTTCTCTATAACTTTTATCTTCAGAAACTGAAAAATGTGAATGGAAAGGAGAACAAAAACGAGACGGACGGCAATAATACACTGGGTGCAACGACAATAATAATATTGGGTGAGAAAATTTCTTTAATGCTTCCTTCCGTTTACTTAACGTATCGGCCATAAAATATACCGAAAATACGAATGTTCACGTTCTCGTGATTCTGACGGGATTGAATACTCAAAAACAATAATGCGAGTTCAACTTCAGATAGATAGCAAGAGTTCTCACTGAAAGCGTAAACTAAAGTTACTTTTTGGTCAGTTTGCGTAGTACGTATTATTATTATATGAGGATATATATAAAGTTCTGCTATACAGCGGGGCCTGCGCTCACGATTAGTACCTGTTTGAGGATCATGTCAATACGATATCTTTGTCTTATACTTCTGCAAAATGTAAATAAGTGTCTCACTGACAAATCACTCAAAATTCACGTCAGTTATATGTTTTGGCATCGTCGGCTTGCACTATATGTAGTGCGACAAACATTTTTTTAAGCCTTCCTTTGCGTCCAGGGAAGTGTGTCGCACAAGTGCAATTTTCGAGAACTTTCTTGTCCTAGACGTTTTACAGGAGCGACAGGTTCCTACCTTTAAAATTCAACAGACAGGTTAAGAGAACATCCTCAAAAATGGCCCACTGTAGAAAGATAGAAACAGGCTGATTGCTTTTTTCTAATAAACACTACCAGATTATAATTATATGAATGGACGTCGTATTTAATATACCACGGAAGTCATCGTATGTTGTTTATTTCTTTATCGTTGTTTTGTTGAAACAGGGGACCGTTGAATAATAAGTGCTACCCATACGCGCGCAGCTTCCTGGATTGCCTTTACCCTGTAGTTTGTTCTGCTGGAGAATCGAGATTAACCTACATCAGCTTTCTCGCGTCGAGCTGCATAAAGTACAAGTATTGCAGACTGTGCTTATCACCATATGTTATTTTAGTTAACATAGAGAAAAAAAAAAACGTAACAAACATAAACTATTGCCTATTACTTGGAATATCCAACATGCCCATGTAGTGGTGGATTTCAGTTTTGCTTATAGCTTTTGTCGATCGGTCCGGCCAAGGTCATCTGTTGGCGTTGTTGCAACGATGCATCATGAGACAATGAAGTCCATTAATGGGTAAGAGGTGTTTACAATGCAGTCTCTAGCAGGCAATATAACCTGTTCGGTAGACCGGAGTGACCCACACGAACTCACATGTAGGCGTGCATAACTTCTCTCGCATATTCCTGTACAACACAATTGAGCTAAATGTGAGATTAGTTCGTGTATGACTTCTCGCCGTTTGCCATCCTGTACCTTTAGCTTCATTCCCTTTGTGACAGTTATATACTGAGTGTGTGAGTCGATGAAGCTTTATGGTTGGTTAGAAAGAAACCGGAACAACTGGAAACAGACGTGTTTAACATAAAACACAGTGCACTAGTTATTTTCGCTAGTACTTATTGGGCTTCTTCCCCTTGTTGTCGCCAATTGTAGGACTGCTCTGTTATGGCTGATGGCGATTATATGTATGACTTTGTCCAGTTTCAATTCAGACCGAGTATTAAACCGCTGTTGTATTTATTAGACGTTGTTGATGCAATCGGGAAGGCTCAAACACCTAAAACGATGCCAGGTTATCAAGATAGAAACATGTAATACAATCATAGATAGTCGAGTATTACGCGTATGCAATAAGACCTAGGCATGGAGCCTGTAGAGCTTGCCACGTGATCAGAAAGGTACTGGGGAGAAGAACGTAACGACCACCCTTTTTGCTGTTGGCTTACATCTATTTTAGCCTATGGACATTGCTGGCATTACGTTACAAGTTCGACCAGTAAAAAAGTTGCAACTCATGGGCTGATGAAATAAAGTTACTCAATTTAGACGATTATTTTGTTTCTCTTGCTGCACGATATCATACTCATCAAACGCACGTGTACGATGGTAGTCTAGCGTGTGGACAAGATAATTAAGCGTCGATTCACACCTAATTGTGGAGCTTGTTGCAGTATCGACTGAAAGACGATTTCGGGCATCGATTTAGAATGTGGCAGACAATTAGACAATAGAAATTTGCTCGTGGAGGCCTGATAACATGATAATTAACTTGTACTCTATATATGTTTGCCTCTATTCTAGCGCATCACTTGAAAGATATCGACGTATTTCAGTTTTTGTTTACTTTAATGACCAGTCCTATATATATATATATATATATATATATGTGTGTGTGTGTGTGTGTGTGTGTGCGTCAGTGTATCTATATATCACTAATTTTGATTAAGCTATGTATCGAAAAACAAAATACTTTTAATCTACTTATTAAAAAAACGCAAATAACACCTTAGCTAACAATACATTTATGTGCCCCTTTGCACTTAACTCAAAAACGTACTAGTCGAAATTGACGGGAACTAAAAATATATCGTATTGACAGGTTGGTACAGAAGAGGGACAAAGCTGGCACGAACAATAGTGTCGACGCAGGAACATACAGAGAAGCTACGCACACACATACTACATATACTTCAGTGCTTTTTTTCTATCTGATTTGTGTGCTAACATGTGCCACGTAAGTTCATCCGATACCGATTTATGCTATAGAACGCCGAAGAAGATGGCCTGCCAGGAGACTGCGACAGATAGGGAATGTCAGAAAAAGAATCACCAAGTCGCTTTTGCTACTACCTAGCGTCGCTTAAATAAACAATTCTACAGATACATTGATAAAAAAGATGTAACTTAAAAAATTTCAGCACCGGCTGCAGATATTCAGATTCGATACCATATTCATTTCTATTTCATCACTATATGTTTCGAGCAGTAGAATCGAGAACTTGTATATATTATATACATAAATCATATATATATATATATATTTAGAGAGAGAGAGAGAGAGAGAGAGAGAGAGAGAGTCTACGTTAAAGATCAACTAGGCAAAGCAGAAAACTCATTTCGTGTTTAGCGGTATGCGCTATCCTTTTATATCATCATCAATACTTCAATAACCGCACACGGCATCAGTGAACACGTTGTTGGCGATTTTGTCGCCGGGTTAGTTACCATCGAAAATGATTTTTCAAAAATAAATTACAGCAGTTGCTTCTGTTACATTTGTCCGTGTACGCTGGTGCTCACTGGCTCCACAAGGATCGAAGTAAAATTTACGTTTGTGAAAGCTTTATTAAATGGGCAAATTTTCTTAGCAGAATTCCTGCTTCTCAATATTGTTCGTTTTCTGGCTTTCCGACGTGTACCCTTGCGGTCCAAATAATTCAGGTTGCATTGTAATCAGTTGGTATATTGGTAAAACGTTCGTGATTCAGCCAAGAAATCTTTACAGCGGCGCATTTCGTTGCCAGCGGTGGGGTCCGATCTGCATGCCTGCTCCGCTCGCCCGATCCATTTGAATGTGATTTAAATAAGCCTTTCCTTTTTCCAACTTTTATTCCATTTCAAGGCGTACAACGCCACATACACATAGGTCGTCGAATTCCCATCGAACCCGTTAGCTGGGGGA